TTGGACTTCAACTCCCAGAAATCCTGGCCAGCAGAGGTGGTGGTGAAGGCTTCTGGGAGTTGTAGTCCAAGAACATCTGGAGGCCCAAGGTTGGGGACCACTGCCCTAGATCTGTGGTTCTTAACCTTTGTTACTCAGGTGTTTTTGAACTGCAACTCCCAGAAACCCCAGCCAGCAGAGCTGATGGTGAAGGCTTCTGGGAGTTGCAGTCCAAAAACATCTGAGTAACGAAGGTTAAGAACCAGTGCCCTAGATGACCACAAAGAGGTTAACCCTTTGGAGACTCACAAATGCCCATGTCGGTACAGCAGTCACATAGATCTGAGCTCCAGGTCCCTTGGTTGCTGAATGTGTAGCTGGTGCCCATGGGTTGTGGCTGGGAACCAATGACCACCTCTGTTTGATATGCCATGTCAGCCCCTGGAAAGTGGAGAGGAGAAGACAAGTAAGCATGGATCCTGCCTGACCCTAAATCTCATTTCCCTTCCACCCCTCCCCAGCTGCAGGATTTCAGGTGGCTTCAGAAGTAGAGTGGAACACCCATCCTTCTGTGTTTGGTACCTACGGTTGCCAACTTCCTTTTTTAAAACCAGATCCCTGTGCCTGTGTCTTTAACATCAGTGCGTTCTGCAGACATTAGGAGAGAGAGTGACAGTTATCTCGGTGCTAAGAAAAGCCACCTCGGGTCCAGGAAATGGGAAGAAAGCAAGACAGGAAAGGAAATAAAATTGACTAAAAGTTTTACCTGCCGAATTTTGCACAACATCCTGCTTTTCAAGGAGCAGGAGAGAGCGAGGCTGTCCCTCGTCAGTTGACAACCCCATTCTGCCCCCAAAGAGGAACACCAAATAGAGCCACCAAATAAAGCTGGCCACCATCCACTGGGAGGCATTCTTGTACAAGACAATTTGAAATAAGCTGCTCCGTTGTCAGGGCCGCTTGGATTCTACTTCAGAGGGGCTTTCTTATGCCTGAACCCCACTACGTGGCTTAAGATCCTTAAAGCCAGCCCAAACGCCTCTCCTTCGTTTGCAGCCTCTTGCTGGCATGGAGGGGGTGTGTGTTGGCCCACATTGCCAGCAGCAATAAGGGAGGGTCCTTCCCTGGAAGCCAATTTGTCGTGATTTTTCCCCCTATAACATTTCCCACAATCATTTTAGTCTGTAATACCTTTCGCCTTTTATTCTCATGGACCCCATTAGTTATTTAATTCTCCTCCTTGAGCAAGGACGAAAATGGAGATATTTTAGACAAAGAACGTGTTTTCTCTTCTGCACGCGGACGGAAAGCCATAAAATGTTGTTCCTCTCTAAACAATGCGGGGAAGACCTTTGGGCTAAATGGATATTGTCCGATGTGTGCCAGAGACAAAATATCACAAAGAGAAAAACTGATACTCTTCTAGTAGTGTTTTTTGTAGTGTTGTCCAGTTTTACCTTGGGGAAGAGCACCTCATTTCGTTTCCGATGTGTGCCAGAGACAAAATATCACAGAGAAAGAGAAAAACTGATATTCTTCTAGTAAATTAATCTGTATTGGGGGGGATCTCTACCATCTTATGTCTTATGTCTTATGTCTTAAATTAATCTGTATTGGGGGGGGATCTCTACCATCAAAGGCAGCACTTTCCTTTATCGCAGAGATGTGGAGTTGTAAGTTAAAATATTTGAAAGGTCAGAGTTTGCCTGGTTCTACCTTATATGTGGTTAAAAGTGCTTCTATTGTCTGCTGTATTTATTTTGCAACAGATTATCCTGTGCTCTGTTAAAAACTAAAGGGCTGTTTGTCCTACATTCTGTTACTAGTAGTTCAAAACAAGACTTGTCTTTTTGAGCGAAGATGGAACGTGGCATCTTAATTTTTGTACATGTGCATTTACTGAATCATGTGCCTCGACTCCAGATCCCATCTGTGCACATCAGGATGACCCATCCATGATCATGAGAAATAGGATTTAATAATACCTGGAGGGACACATATTGTTTGCTTATATAAATATTTTACCCTGCTTTTCTCCTTAAGAAGGATACAAAGTGGCCTACACAACATCATTAAAAGACAACATTTGAAGCTAAAAACAGTCAGTATACAAATATTAAAAAGGATCAAACAGATGCCACACTAAGAGACAGTAAACAAAAGCAATACCCAAAACACATTCAAAGCAGTATTTAAAATACCCACTCAGATAACCAGTCATTAAGGGAAAGCTTGCCTGAGGAGAAAGGCCTCTTGCCTGCTTGGGGAAGGACAGAAAAGATGGGGCCAGCCCTCCAAACACATCTATGGGGTTAGTGGGACTGTGAGAATACAGCTTTCCTGATGATCTGAACACCCAACAGGCTCATAATGAGAGATGCCATCCTTGAGATAGCTTGGAGCCACACCAGAGGTGAATACGTCTTTTCCTCAGTGAAACAACCCATTGAGGAACCGGATGATCTGAACACTCAAGCAGGCTCATAATGAGCGATGCCATCCTTGAGATAGCGTGGAGCCACACCAGAGGTGAATATGTCTTTTTCTCAGTGAAACAACCCACTGAGGAACCACAAACCCCCATGAGAAGTTTTGAGAGTTCATATCTTTGCATATCTGGGAGGCGGTGGAAGACAGGAGGGCCTGGCGTGCTCTGGTCCATGGGGTCACGGAAGAGTCGGACACGACTGAACGACTAAACAACAACAATCTTTGCTTGGTCGTGGAAACTCACTGGAGGCGGGCAGAGGTAAAGCCATTCCTTAAATATCTCGCATGCTTTTAAAACCCTGTTAGGTTTACCATAAGTCAGCTACCGCTTGACAGCACACAACAATAACAACATTTCCTCTGTGAGGGATCTCCAACATCTGTGAGAATTTATGAGACCTGTGAGGTTTGGCCTTGATAATCCATGCGAAATGTTTCTGGATCTATGTATACCTGCACCCGTGTACTGATGCACACACAGTAAGATAAAAAACAACAACTGGCTGATCAGAAAGAGACAAATAAACCTTTCTCTGCTGCTCTTACTAGCTAAAACCTCAAGGCAAATAGATTTTCCAACATTTTGCAGAAATGCTGGCTGGAGGAGTCATGGAAATTTGCTTTTAAAAGGAATTTCTCTGACCTCTCTCCCAATATTATGTGCTCCGCACTTACCTAAGAGAAGTTTCAAAGGAAGTGTGGTCACCTACAGACATTAGATGTTTTTGCAAAATTTAATTCATGTACAGAGGCACAGCTGGGGATTCTCATAGTTGTCCAACAATAAAAATAAAAACAGAAAGAGTTTATAAACTTTGCATGAGGTCTGTTGGGTGAAAGATGTGAAAATCCTGTAATCTTAACCGAGTCCTGGAAAAACCTGATATGCTGAGCAGGAACAAAGAGAGAAACACAATGCGTATGAATCAGCTCGTATCAGGAGTTTCGTTCATGCCCTGCTGATAAAGTGGGTGGAACCCTCTTTTAAGAGAAAATGGATCAACTTGTCTTGGCACTGGGTCTTGGTCTGAAGCCTTCTGTTTTGGCAACTGAAATACACCCTTAAAGGCTTCATTCAACTGTGTTGATTCACGACACCCATAATTCTCAGCATGGCTGAGAAGAAGGGGAGATGGAACTCAAGACTTTGTGAGGGTACAGATTTGAAAAAGTTTGGACTAGTGTTCCAAATAAAGGTATTATTACTGTAGTCTGAACTTTTATTACTTCCAGAGAGGTAACTGTGCTAGAACATAATCTGTTAAATCAAAACTAACAAAGGTTCTTGTCACAACTTAAATTGGATCAGATTCTATTTCACCTTAGCTCTTGTGGACCCTTGCCTGCAAAAGCTTATGCTAAGGAAAACCTATGAAGATGATTGGACTAGGTAGCCTTATAGACCCCTTCAAACTCCATGATTATCATGATTCTATGATTCTTTGTTCCTTTTCCTACTACAGTACAATTGGAGAGTTTTGCCCACACTCCAGAATACCCTGAAGCCTAAATTTAAGGCCAACCCCAGCATTAGGTAGAGTGAGCAAATTGATTTAAGGGACGGATACTGAGAGGTGCCAGCTTGTGCTGGATGAAATGAGATGTGTGTCATGCACCCTAGCCTCCTGCTTTTATGTCCGGTAAAGAATGTGATCCTTATTACCTGTAACTATAATAACAATGTGCCATCCATTGAGTCTTGTGGCAACCCTTGTCAAGGCTTCCTAGGCATAAAGAATTCAGAGGTGGCTTAGCAGTCCTTTCTTCCGGGGGTGCTCTGGGACTGTGTAGCTTGCCCAAGGCTATACAGGCTGCCTCTTCTTCCAGGACACACCGTGGGGAACCAAACCCTTAACCCCCCCCACCCCCGAATCCACAGCCAGATGCTTGTACTCACTGAACTGTCCAGCCAGTTCCCACTGCCCTTAAGTTGGGAAAAAACATTCAACTGGACTGTGATTATTTGGAACAGCAAAAGGATACCATCTTGTTGGCAGGACTGGATGAATCCCAAGCCGGAATTAAGATTGCCGGAAGAAATATCAACAACCTCAGATATGCAGATGATACCACTCTGATGGCAGAAAGTGAGGAGGAATTAAGGAACCTCTTAATGAGGATGAAAAAGGAAAGCGCAAAAAATGGTCTGAAGCTCAACATCAAAAAACAAAGATCATGGCCACTGTGCCCCTCGCCTCCTGCAAAAGAGAAGGGGAAGATATGGAGGCAGTGACAGATTTTACTTTCTTGGGGTCCATGATCACTGCAGGTGGTGACAGCAGCCACAAAATTAAAAGACGCCTGCTTCTTGGGAGGAAAACGATGACAAACTTAGACAGCATCTCGAAAAGCAGAGACATCACCTTGCCGACAAAGGTCCACATAGTCAAAGCTATGGTTTTTCCAGTAACGATGTATGGAAGTGAGAGTTGGACCATAAAGAAGGTTGACTGCCGAAGAATTGATGCTTTTGAATTTTGGTGCTGGAGGAGACTCTTGAGAGTCCCCTGGACTGCAAGGAGAACAAACCTATCCATTCTGAAGGAAATCAACCCCGAGTGCTCATTGGAAGGACAGATCCTGAAGCTGAGGCTCCAATCCTTTGGCCATCTCATGAGAAGAGAAGACTCCCTGGAAAAGACCCTGATGTTGGGAAAGTGTGAAGGCAAGAGGAGAAGGGGACGACCGAAGATGAGATGGTTGGACAGTGTCATCGAAGCGACCAACATGAATTTGACCCAACTCTGGGAGGCAATGGAAGACAGGAGGGCCTGGCGTGCTCTGGTCCATGGGGTCATGACTAAACGACTAAACAACAACAACAACCATCTTGTTCCTTTCTCTTCAGGAAACCAAGTATTATGGCCTGACCTTGCCTACAGCACTTATAATTTGATCCAAACTAAGGACAAGATCTTGGTCTTAAGCCTGTGATACCGTTTTATTGCCCCACCGTCTCTCTAGAATACAACTTCAGTGCATCCTCTCAGGCCACAATTATTTGTCAAATCTTCTGTATTTTAAGTACAGTTTTGCCAGTTTTGAACTGGACTTAGCTGTCTCTGTGATAAAGAGGTTTCATCAGCTGCAATTATTCTGTGATTTCTGCATATCAGACCTCTTCAGGAGGGGTGGCGTAATGCCCAGAAAGATTTTTATTTTTTTTTTCTAATTGTTTCGGGGATAACCTCATTTTAGGAGATGTGGATTCAGGAAGATGTATCTCCTTATAACAGGAAAATCCTGAGGCCACAGTAAGTCAATTAGCCTCGAAGATGCCACAGGATTTTATGGAAAAGAAATTCCTGTTGAAATCAATGGGAATTAAGCATTTAAGTGCTCAAGGTCCACTGAAATCAATGAGCTTAACGTTCAATCCTAAAAACATTTACTTTAAGGTAAATCCCATTGATTTCAAGACAGCTGACTTCCAGGCAGAGCTTGGAAGAGCTACTTTCTGGATTGTATCTCCCAGAATCCCAATGCCTGCACTTTGCTAGTGGATTCTGGACGTTGTAGTCCAAAAAAGCAATTTTCCCCAGCTCTTTAATCCAGGTATATGATTTTCAGCTTTTAATGCAGGTTTCTTGAAGTTACGCCCCAACTTTACATAACAGACTAATACAGATCTATACCTCTGAACCTTGCCTTTAGAGAAACTAGTTCACATGATAGAATTCTTCAAAATCGAAACTTGCTTGGACTTCCAACATATCGAGACCATAACTCATCTCCTCTGTCTTCTATGCAACTATCTTAAGTAAGTGATATTTGTTCTACTGTTACAGATGTGTGGAATTGAGATGTCGTGCACCTTTAATGACTCATTCGGTGTGTTAGGGTCTACAGAATGCTCAAAAAAGTGTGTCAGCTTTCGAGCTCTACAGAACTCCTCACTGCCCTAAATAAAAGCAAATAATATAAAACTAAATGATATGAAAGGATAATATAGAAAAAAGCTTGCACTTTTTTGTGGCATTTTGCTTTGCTCTCAGAAAGGATTAACTGTAACGTTGGCATCACTTTTATTTGCCAGAAACCATCACAATTACGCCTACTTTTTGACCTTTCCTTTCCTCCTTTTGAATCTGGACTGGGTGCTACCTTTTGTTCCTCTCATGTTCTATTTGCCTTTAAAGCCCGTCAAACATTTCACCCTAAATCTGATTGCCACTCCTATTCAATCGTTTGCTGAATGGTGAGTCAAAACGCTTAGGTAAATTCCATTGATTCAATGAGCCAACTTTAGTTGGAACTGCCAGTTGGATCCTGGCCAAAGACTTAAAACATTCCTGCACTTCCCGGAAGCTCTCTACTAACTCAGATTTTTGTTAAAAAAACAACAACACACACACACACACATAGGAAAAATAGCCACACACATACAAAAAAGGTGGCGCCCCTATTCACTCATGCCAGTGGAATTCAATCAGAAACTTACGAATACTTCTTTGTTCCTCCTTATCGTCCAAACATTTTGCAGGGAAAACAAAGATTTGGGAAGGGAGGGTTTACTAATCATTGCCCATCAATCAAAGTTCAGTCCCTGTACCTTTTCACAACCTTGGGAAAGAAATGAAGAAAACAGATAGACACAGCAGGCGTAGAAGGCTGCTGCTGAACTGACTAAGGCTGTGATGTCTATGTTGCAAACTGGGAAGGCTTATGTTTTCTTCCTGGGAATGCTTATGTTTTCCCCCACGAGTGACACAGAACAGGAGAAGGTCACTTGTTCCTGCCGTGTGTCGCTAAAGTGATGCCTAGAGTGAGGACTGTGGCTTTCATTGGACTGTAGACCCCACCACCACCATAACCATGGAGTAATGGAGGTGAGAAACTTGTTCCCCCCCCCCACTGTAATTCCCAAAACATAGCTAGTTTGAGGAGTTATACAGTGGTGCCTTGCTAGAGAATGATAATCCGTTCCACTGAAATCGCTGTTTAGCGAAATCATTGTCTAGCGAAAAGCAAATTGTCGTCTAGTGAAAATCGGTTTGTGAAGCAGGGACCAAACATTGTCCAGCGAAATTCCCCTATAGGAATCACTGTTTTGCGAATCGCTATAGCGATCACAAAAAGTCAATGTCTAGCGAAAAAACTATCATGCAGGGTAACTGTCTAGCGAGGAACCACTGTAATCAGCAAAAGTTGGGAAAGTGTGAAGGCAGGAGGAGAAGGGGACGACAGAGGGCAAGATGTTTGGACAGGTTCACCGAAGCAACCAACATGAATTTGACCCAACTCTGGGAGGCAGTGGAAGACAGGACAGCCTGGCGTGCTCTGGTCCATGGGGTCACGAAGAGTTGGACATGACTAAATGACTAAACAACAACAACAATCAGCAAAACTAACTTTCCCAAGTTCAGAATTGTAGCACGCACAAAATGAGTATGTGGCTCTAACACTCTCCTTTAGAATGGAGTGTAGACTTCACGACGGTATGATCCTCCTTGTTTTTGTAGTAGAACAAACATGTCTTGACCCAACTCTGGGAGGCAGTGGAAGACAGGACAGCCTGGCGTGCTCTGGTCCATGGGGTCACGAAGAGTTGGACATGACTAAATGACTAAACAACAGCAACAACAAACAGCAAAACTAACTTTCCCAAGTTCAGAACTGTAGCACGCACAAAATGAGTATGTGGCTCTAACACTCTCCTTTAGACTTCACGATGGTATGATCCTCCTCATTTTTGTAGTAGAACAAACATGTGTGTGACTTGAGGAGAAAGACCTACATTGAAAACCAAAGAATCCAACTTCAAGGATTCATTTTGAGCACCAGAATGGAGCAGGGCTCAGTCTTTCCAGGAAAAAAAACAAACCACCAACGCTTCTAGTTTCCCAAGCTTTCTTCATTTCAGCAGCGCAATGTAGGAGAGCCTAGGGATTTGGCTTCACAGCAGCTATTTACTGCTGAACAATTGCAGACCAGAAAGCCTTGCTCTTCTATAGCAAGTCATCTACGGCCAGAACTCCCTCTATTTTCTGCCCATTCCTGTTCTCATTGCAAAGGAACTCCTTAGAGCTTAAGTGAGTGTTCCCTACTTCCAAATCCCATCCTCAAGAGGCTAGACCATAATTCCTATTCTACCTGGCCAATTCCCACCCTGCCGCTGACCGATGCCCCATTCTAGAGCGGCTGGAGTCAAACCCGGTCATCACAAGCCGAACCCCCGAGAGATGCTACTTCAGACTTCCTGTGCTGTAGAAAGTCTGAAACCAGCTAGGCTAAGGAGAACCACTTTTGGTTTATCTTCGAATTTAGGGGACACCTCAAAACCGTTAAATGCAGGCCCCATCGGAGGTTTTCTGAGTACCTCTCCTCTCCCAGTCTTAAAGAGCAGCAGATTGAGTGGAAAGTTTGCAAATATACTAATACTGTAAAGCTTTCTGTCTTACCTGGTTTTTACGCTCCGGAACTTCAGGTTTTGTGTTGACCAGACCGCTGTAGGTAAAGAAACCAGTTGGGTGGGGTTGAGCTGGTGTGCCTTATATACATTCAGGGAGAAGGGCGGGGGTGTTTTGAGCCTCTGTGTGCAAAGGAGTGGATAAAGGAAACCATAGAAAACTTGGTCACTGCTCTAACCATTTGGAGAATGAAGCTTCAAGGGAGAAGAGAACAGGAGCGGGACTTTATAGTTTTCCTCTGTTTTCAATAGCTTTTGTCAATTAGCTGACCCGACAGATTGAGGTAGGAGTTATCGGCAGCAACGCCTTATGAATGATCAAAGTCAATCAAAATCCAAAGTCCACAGTTGGGGGATACCTTTACAAGCCGAAACCACCACCCAAAATGCTGCAATAGTAATGTGAAAGCTTATTATTTAACTTATTTTTGTTGAGGATTTGTTGGTGGTGCTACTTGTTTTGATTTCCGTTGCGTTTCAACTTTTTCTGCGCATTAGTGTTTTATTGTATGTGTCTTTTGTTATTGTTGCAAAATGCCCAGAATAGTGCATCATACTAAAAGGGCGGTATATGAGTGTAATAAACAAACAAACAAACAAACAAACAAACAAACAAACAAACAAACAAACAAACAAACAAACAAACATTTTTACCTTGCCTTTCTCCTTAAAAGGACACAAGGCGGCTTTCCTAACTAACCTTTGCGTTTTCTCTGTTCAATAACATAATTGTCTCACCTTTTGGCATTTTGTTGCCCTCTGCACGGATTACAACCTCTAGCTCTCTCTCTGTAAACAGGGTAAGGCTTCATGCATCTGATGAAATGAAGTACAGTCTGTGAAAGTGTATACCGTGATAAACGAGATCTCGTTTTAAAGCGCTGTCTTTCTTTCTGTAAGTGGGGAACTGATTCATACCCAGCCTTCATTTTAAGTCACTGGAAGGTGCCAAAAAAAAGCCCAGTATTTACATAATAACCATGCAGAGATTTGCAAAGCAATGAACGTTTTTGGACCAGGGAGGGGCTTGTGGGTGGGCAAAATAGTGGGTTTGCTGGCCCTGGCTTTCTATGGCCTACGGTGGTCCTCCTTAAGCTTGCATGATCCTGGGGTTGTCCCCACATGCCAATGCAAACATTAAATTATCTCTGAATTAAATTGTGTGTGTGCCTTTAAATGTTGTTGTTCTTGCTCCTGTTATTAAAACGATTAAGGTTCTGAAAACCTTGAAGATCTATCTCCAATCATCCTATGATCTGCTGGAATCACAATCTCTTCCCTGCTTCCTTTTGCAAGAGGTCACCAGAGACTTCTTGGCATTTGGCCATATTTTAATGATCCTCATAGCCTTCATTGGCATAAAAGCGTGCAGAAAACAGCAGTCTTCATTATTTATTTACAGCGGTTTGACCCCTTTCTTCTTCTGCTCAGGAGGCTCCGAGAAAGGTTACCTCCATAAGCTTGACAGGTTTCTGGGTTGTGTGAAGGTCCTTGCTCTCAAGTGTGATGGCAGGAAAGACGTGACACAAAAGGAGAAAGGATGGAGGAGGAGGAAGGAAGGGAAAATTCAAGTTAGTCACCAGTTCTTATGGCTACTGTTCTTATCTTGATCAGCAGCCAAGATAGTCATGGCCACATATCCTGGGCAAGTTACCTAAACAAAACCCTGGCCCTAGCTAGAAGTTTGACAAACTCAGGACTAAAGCAGAGCTGAATCAATCATCCTACAAATCTGCCGCTGGGTAGATCCTAACCGTTTGATTTTTGGGTAGAGGGCACCATCTCATAATTAGTGGCCAAGTAAGTCAACAGCCAGTTTCTCTGACTTCTGGGGACGATGGGAATTGTCACCCAGAACATCTGGAGGGCAGAGTGTGGAGAAAAAAACTGCTGTAAAAATAGCCGGGGAAACTTTCCAAAAACTTGGTCAAAGGCAACCAGTTAAATACACATTTCACAAGTGAGAAATGAGGCAAGAGATAAGCAGAGCAGTACAAGGTCAGCCTTGGCAGAATGGAAGAGAAAGACTGCAATATTTTCTCTCACTACCATTAGTTTAGAGGGCTACAAAGAGAGGGATTTCCCCCCCTCAAAAACATCTAGAAGGGAACAGTTGCTTACCCTCTTATTGGTGGACCGAATACATTTCATCCAGAGATCTACCAGCAGTTCCTGGCGCTGTCTCTCAGCCTAACCTTGTTTGTAGGGCTGGTATAAAGATAAAGGGTGTGTGGAAGGAGAACATACATATCTGCTGTTACTTCCAACTGTGCTGGATTACAACTCCCACAATCCCCAAGCCGGCATGGGAATTAGAGTCAAACATATTTGGTAGGAGCCCCACTTGGGGGGGGGACCTGCCTTAATTTGGAAATGGGGGACATGAGGCTCTCCAGATGTTGAGGGACTGCAGCTCTCACCACCCCTACCTGATAGGGGAAGCATGATGGGAGTTGCAGTCCAGGAAGAGTTTTAGATCCACTTGTTACTCAACACCGCCTTGGAAGAAAAGAAGGCTATGAATATAATAAATAAAACCCGAAACATAGCGGGGACTGCAGCTCTCACCACCCCTACCTGATAGGGGAAGCATGATGGGAGTTGCAGTCCAGGGAGAGTTTTAGATCCACTTGTTAATCAAAGAAAGGAAGGCTATGAATATGAAGAAAGGAAGGCTATGAACCCGGAACCATAGAAGGAGGGAGGAACTGCTTTGCCTAGGATCTTGGCCCTTCTTGGAAGTTTGTGGTGTCTCCTTCCATAGGTTCTGCTCCTTCCAAGAAAGGCCAAGCCACAAATTCTAGGATGTCACAAACTGGGAGTATAGGGCAGGGGTTTCCTGCTCTCATAATAATAAAGATGTTCTGTCAAGTCAATCCTGATTTAGTGAAACCCTTTCCAGGGTTTTCTAGACAGAGAGTACTCAGAAGTGGTTGACCCTTCCCTTCTTCTGGAGGTGTCCTGGGGCTGTGTGCAGCTTGCCCAAGGCCATCCAGGCTGGCTCTGCTTGTAGAAGGCACAGCTGGGGAATCAAACTCCCAGCCTCTGGCTTTTTAGCCAGATACCTAAACCACTGAGCTTTCCGGCCAGTTCTGCTCCTGTAAAGGTGTCAATATTTGCCTCTGAAGGTCTCTTCCCCCACCCCCCCCCCCAGCTGGACTTTGGACTCCTGTAGGTCTCCTGGAGGCCGGACCTGGCGTTGAGTGTTTACCCAAATGACGCAGAGAGAAAATTATTTGCTGTTTGGTAAACGAAGCAACTGAGCCGCAAAAGAACGGTGTCAGGATTTAATTGAAAAATGACTCTTGGCCCTTGGATTGTCTACAGGCTGAGTCAGACCTTAAACAGAGGCCTCATAACCATGCTGCTGCTAGACTCTCTGGACGTGTTGAATTAGTGCTAGTTGTAGAATTATGGGAGTCTCATGTCTGACACCTCTGGAGAGCACCAAGCTGGTGAAGACAGACTTACAGCCTCCGCTTGGTTCTCAGCAGAAGAAGCTGTCAAAGCTATGGAGAAACAGCAGTGCGGACGAGCTCGGGAAATACCAATTTGCTAGTAGGTCTACAGCTTGGGTGAATAAACTATGGCTTCCAACAGTTGTTGTTAGACTCCAACTCCCATCAGCAAGCTTGGAAATCTAGGATCATGGGAGTTGTTCCTTCTGTCTTTCAAACTGCTTGGCTTTTTTGTAGTGCCTTTCAAGACTCCCCCCGCTTCTTCCCAGGTTAATAATGTGGGTAGGAATATGTATCTCTCTAAACTGTCTAATCTCAGGCTATTATTTTTTTGCTTCGGAGGTACTGTAACAGACTCACTGGGAAAGTGGTGAGAAAATTTGGAGTCAGTAGGAAAAGAGGAAGATGTAACACGAGATGTCGTAACTCATTAAAAGAATCCTCACCTGCAGTCTGAAAGACCTAAGTAAGCTTGTTAACGACAGGACACTTTGGAAGTAAAAAAATCATAGGATTTTCATAAGCCGGAAGCAACGTGACACCTTACAACAGCCACATGTCTTTAACAATGTAAGACACCACTCCATAAGTTTGGAGTACAGAACTAGAAATGCTTATGTCACAATAACTTTGGAAGGCTTTAAGAAATCATGAGAGTCTTTCTTGTTTTAGTAACAAAACACATTGTGAAATTCCTTACTAGTGCTGTTAGCAGGGAATGGAAAGTTTCATAACATGCATGTGTATGTTTACAAATGAACTGAGAGCAACAAAAACTGGCTTCCTTAGAAGAGGCGAAGAAAGCCGTAGGCAAAAGGGGGGAATATTGTTTAAGAAGTTTTTTAGGGGAAAAAAAATCTTCCAGTGTGGTTTGATAAAGAGACATCACTGTAATGCCTAATATAATATTCAACGATTCCTTTAATTAAAGTTTTCAAAAGTTCAAGATGGAAACATTTTATTTTATTCTACATGTCCAAATGCTTCGATCTGTTTTTCCGTCATGATTTAAAAAAAAAAATCTAAGGAAATGATTGAGAGTCACATGTGATTTATCCAAAGGAAGGATGGTTTTTTTTTTTTTTTAAGGAAATGTTGAGAGAAAACTCCTAGTGGCCGGGATCCTTTCAAGAGGTCCCTTTGAGAAAGATGTCCTTGTTTGTTCAATGAGATGGCGAATCAAAGCTGTAAAAAAAAAAGCTTGCAGAATGGATAGATGGAGGGGTGGGNNNNGGCGGGCGAGAGGAGAAGCCGGTGACTGGTGTTGGTGGGAGCCATAGGCACGCCGCCGAACTGTCAGGAATGCAAAAAGAGATAAATGAACGGTTAGGCTCACGGTATGAATAAATGAACTCTCTCCTTTCGCTGGGCTAAAGGGTTAGGTGATCCAAAGAGAAGGAGAGCAAACACACACACACACACACACACACATCCCATGGGGCCACGGAGAGAAGGGGCGTGAGAGTCCATTTGACAAGGGAAGAAGGATGACAGAGGGAATGAACACAGAAAGCTCTGATGGAGGGGGGACAGTGACGGCCGCTTGAACCTGAAGGGTTTGTGTCTCTCTGTTCAGCATCCATCAACTGCGTCTGCTGTTATCCTCTTCATTTTTTAAAAAATCTGACCTAGGCCTCTGTTTGCCTTTCCACGCATCCCCGGGAGATGTACGTACAGTACGTCTTTCTCTAGGTGGCTTTCACATCCTTTATGGATGCTTGATGGATCTACAGGCCCGGCCGCCAGCAGGACCGGCTCAGATGGGCTTGTCGTGGTCTTGTTTACATCTGGAAGTTCCCAAATCAGAAACACAACTCCAAACAAGGATTGCACAACAGAAAGGGTTGTTATTGT